ATTGGAGGTGGGAGAGTCAGGGATGGACAACAGCCAGATGTGGGAGTCCCAGCCTTGTATCCCAGGCATCCTAAGCCCTTTTAAAATGTGGGGGTTTTTGGGAGGGCAGAGGCTGTTATTGGGTTGTTGTTTTTATTTTGATTATATATATTGTGGTTTTATATTTTGATTTTGCTCTCTGAACCGCCCTGCGACCTCCAGGCATAGGGCTTTATATAGAGTCAATAAGTAAATTTAAAAAAATAAAAAAAATGGAGAATGCAGAGAAATGCCATCCTCAGTACTGTGAACGGGATACATGGCGGTGGGATTTTGTTTCCTGGCGGCTTCTAGAAACAGAGACTGGTGGAGCCTGCGATGGGGAGGGTTTTCTCAAGCCCACCCTCTGGCCACTTTGGGTGGGCCTGCTTGATTCCTGCCACTCTCTTCTGGTTCTCCCCCTGAAGGGAAGTAGCACCTTGGTGGCTTCAGAGCCACTTCAAGTGAATTTCCACCCCATCTTTGAAAGGCTTCTCCAACAGAGGGAAGCTCTCTGGGGTTGGTGGAGGGGAGAAAGGTTGCTCTGAGCCTTAAACCTTTTGCCCTTTGACATGTTTTGGGGAAGGTGAGCTTCTGTTGCACATGGAACCAACTTGCTCCCCGTCTTTGAGCAGAAACTTCTCTACTCAAATTGTCTGTGCACAAGCCAGGCTAGCATTCTAGCAGTTTTATTATTCTTTATCAATATTTGTTTGTTTGTTTGTTTGATCTGTTTCATAAAATCCATGCCCCACTTGATTGGGCAAATAACTCCCATCTCTAACCATGTAACTCCATTTAAGTCTCCCATTAGTATACAGTGCTACCTCTGGATGCGAACGGGATCCGTTCCGGAGCCCCCTTTGCATCCTGAAGCGAACGCAACCCACGTCTGCACGTGTGCTGGTCGCGATTCGCTGCTTCCACGCATGTGCGTGACATCATTTTGAGCGTTTGCGCATGTGCGAATGGCAAAACCCGGAAATAATGCTTTTTGTTACATCCGGGTTGCCACGGAGCGCAACCTAAAAACTCTCAGTTTCCTTCTTATTGTAATTTCTTTGACCCCCAGAAGGTCTCACTGTCTCTTTTCTCAGTTCTTTCTTTAGCTGTCCCTTCTTGCTCGCTTGCCTTTCCTTCCTCCTCCTCCTTTGGGCGTGGGCAGCGTGAGCTAGCAGTTTTCCTACGCCATATTGTGGTTTGAGGGCCCGACCCCCGCGAAGTGAAATGAAGACACAAGGACACGTGATATAAGGTTAATGGGCTAGAAAAGGCCACAACTTTATTGATTACAGCAATGAAAAGGTATTGGCTTAGGCATTGGATCGAAACAAGTGGGTTTATTCACCAGGCGTTCATCACCTGTTGATGCTAATCCAACTATAGGCTCACCCCTGCTGTCACCGCGGGTCGTGCCATGGCCTCCCGCCAAGCAGGCATCGGACAGAATACACGACCGCCAGATTCCTTTAACGGAATACCCCTAAAAATTGAAGGCATAGGCGATGGCCACACCTAGCACTTCGACACACCACAACACATTATTCCAATGCCTAACCTACCCACCAATACCACAAAAGTTGTGACGATTGCTACGAGGTAGGCGAAAAAACCAAAAAGCCTATTGCCAAATGGAAAAACTCCTACCAGGCCCCCAGGCAACCAGGGCGACCAACCTAAGGTCCATAGCAAGGCCAATGACCTAAGCCCTAACTAAAAGGGAGTGGAGGGTGGGTGACTCGTGACGGGACGACGATGAGGAATGAGGCCAGGGAAAGGCTGGCACTGCAGCAAAAGGCTGCTGAACACGCCCCCACCACGGCACCTGGTTGGGTGGCCACCGGGGGGGGCGTGAGTGCCAGCCAGGTGAGCGGGAGGCAGGGGGCAACGCCCCCTGCTGGGCGGTGCTCGGGTTCCCGCCCACAACCACTCCCCTATCTTTCAGGGAGGAGAGTCTTTGCCCTTTCTTTTCAAGCCACCTTCCAGGATCGTTCCCCTCTCAGTCCTGTCTTCTCCTTCTCCTCCGCCACCGTAGACGCTGTCGTTCTCTCGCACTTCTCCTTCGCCGTCCACCCTTTGCCCGCTGTCTTCTCCGTTCTGCTCCGCAATCTCAAATGTCGGGCTTAGGACTGGGGCTGGCCGTGTGGGACGCCAGCGTAGGGCCACATGGGGTTGGGTTTCTCGCCCCGCTTGCCTCCGCGCTCAGATCTTTTATTCCTCCTCTCCAGTTTGGACCACAAGGATTAAGACCTGTGCAAGGACAACAAAAAGGAAATGTCCCTTAGGGACTCGGGCGCCTCCAGGTGCTACTTCCCCTGCCACCACTGGCGGAGGAAGGTGGGTGTGTGGGGGGGGTATCGCCCCGAGTGCCATCCCAGGGGGGGGGCAAAATCCCCCTGGGCGGATCGGTGCAAGCCTCCCAACTCCTCCTCATCTGGGTTCAGGGTGGACACAGCTGCGATGCTGCCGCATCCAGCGCCTGAGCCACGTGCAGAGTGGCCTCCTTTCCCCCTGCGCCCCACTGCTGCCTCTTGTACTGGGTTGCTCTGGTGGCACTGGTGGTGCTGGCGGCAGCGCTCTTCTGAAGATCTTGCGAATCCGGGAGATGATGGAGCCCAGGCAAGTGGGGGTCTTCGGGGGCCTCTCTTCCTCGCAGTCCTGTGAGAAAAGTAAACAATTCACCTCCAGATTCTGGGAAAATGCCGCAATCATTAATCAATCAATCAAACAATTGATTGATTAAATCCGTATGCCGTCCTTCATCTGAAGCTGTCAGGGCGGCTTACAGCATAAAAATACAAAATAAAAACACAACATATGTATTAAAAACAAAAACGAACTCATAAGCCAACCTCCCAATCCACAAGCATGTTGAAAAGGCCATGCGTTGTCCAATTAGCCCAAGGCTGGTTCTAGAGCAGAACTTTCCATGTTGGTGACACACTTTGGAGACATGCCTCATTTCGCAACACAGGGATTCAGTTCAACTAGCCCTTTTCCAGCCCTGGGAGGAGCACACAGTTTGGAAAGCTCTGTTCTAGAGAAACGTCTTTGCTTGGCACCTAAAGATAGATAATGAAGATGCCAGATGAGCCTCCCTGGGAAGAGCATTCCGCAAGTGGGGAGCCACCACAGAAAAGGCCCCTTCTTGTGTTGCTGCCCTCCAGACCGTTTGTGAAGGAGAAGGGCCTGTGTGGTGGCAGGCTGTCATAATCCCTCCTTTTCTTTTTGGGGCAAGGCGTTATATGAAAGGGTTGTAGTCAGGAGGGAACACTCCTCTCCCAAGTTCTCATGTGGTCAGCCTTGGAGAGATCTGAACGAGACACAAAACCAAGAACAAGAGGGTGGGGGGAAGGTATCGGAGGCAGGAAAACCCCAGAGAGAACCGGCTTTGCAAAGTGCCAACATGGTTTTATTATCGCCAAACCCACTTTGCAATTAATAACTTCATTTGGCAGGAGGCACCTGGAAACGCATTCAAAAGAGATATCTTACAAAACAAACACCAAACCAAAAGCAACCCAGGAGAATTATCTCCACCCCCATCGTTCTGAGATCCAGTGCTGAGGGCCTTCTGGCGGTTCCCCACTGCGATAAGTGAAGTTACAGGGAACCAGGCAGAGGGCCTTCTCGGTGGTGGCACCCGCCCAGTGGAACGCCTCCCCCGCCAGATGTCAAGAAATAAACAACTATTTGACTTTTAGAAGACATGTGAAGACAGCCCTGTTCAGGGAAGCTTTTCAAATGTCATGAATGAATGTGTGTTTCGTCTGACCTCGATTATGCTTGCCTCCAGGTGTTCTCCAGGTGGGGGGCACGGCGAATAAAGGGCCTCCTTGTCCTCCTTGTCTCCCCCGTCCTCCTCTGGGGGGCTCTCTGGTACTTCCTGTGGCTCTTCCTCCTCGATAGCCACTTCAGAGACTGCCTGCCAGCAGAGACAGGACCCCAGAGGTGGTGGCATTGGTGGTGGGGAGAGGGGAGAAAGAGAGCAGCCCAGAATGAGACAGGAACCCACATTGAGTCGCTAGCCAGGGAAGCCCTACAGCCCTGGCGCCATGGGGGGCTGGTCCATCAGGACAAGTAGGGCAGCAAGCATACCCTTAGCAGCCCTGCCTGCCTGCCTGCCTGCCTGCCCCCTTGCTCACGACCAGTCCAGAAGGTGGCCTGACCGGCCAGCCGGCTTCCTCCTCCTCCTCCTCCTCCTCCCCCCAGCCTCAGGGTTCTCCAGCTCAGCAGGGCTTCCCTCCTGCTCTGTCTGCTACGTACCTCATTGAGGGAGTCCCAAAGGGAATCCAGGGACAGGGAGGAAACACTGGAAAATGGTGACATACTTGGAACCTGCAAGGAAAAAGATTGCAAAAAATGAGCAAATTAAAAAACGCAACCAAACGTTAAAACTCAAGGCACCCATAACTGAAACAACAGTTCCATTCTGCAGTTGATATGCTTCCCCTCGCCTTCTGCCAATCACCACTTAGGCCACGGCCACCTACCCAGTCAGGCTGAGGAGATCCAGCCGTCTTGCCGGTCGTCTCCTCCTCGCCCTTTTCCTTCGTCCTCCTTGACATTGGGAATGTCCTCCTCGGTGGGCTGACTGCTAGCAGAGACAGGACCCCAGGATTGACGTGGGGAGAGAGGAGGAAAGAGAGCATCCCAAAATGAGAGAGGAACCCAGAAGGGGAAACTCTCTGCCTACATTGAGTCGCTAGCCAGGGAAGCCCTACAGCCCTCGGCGCCATGGGGGGCTGCGTCCATCAGGAGGAGTGGGGCAGCAAGCATGTCTGCCCTTAGCAAGCCCCCTGCCTGTTGCCCCCTGGCTCTCAACCGTCCAGAAGGTGGCCTGGCCGGTCCAGCCAGCCAGCATCCTCCTCTTCCTCCTCCTCCCCAGCCTCAGGGTGCCCATGTCAAGCTCAGCAGGCTTCCCCTTCCTGCTTCTGTCTGCTACGTACCCTCAATTGAGGGAGTCCCAAAGGGAATCCAGGGAGGACAGGAGGGAAACACTGGAAAATGGTGACATACTTGGAACCTGCAAGGAAAAGATGCAAAAAACGAGCAATTAAAAAACGCAACCCAAACGTTAAAACTCAAGGCACCCATAACTGAAACAACAGTTCCATTCTGCGGTTGATATGCCCCCCTCCCCTTCTGCCAATCACCACTTAGGCCACGGCCACCTACCCAGTCAGGGCTGAGGAGATCCAGCCGTTCTTGCGGTCGTCTCCTCCTCGCCTTTTCCTTCGTCCTTTTTGACATTGGGAATGTCCTCCTCGGTGGCTGACTGCTAGCAGAGACAGGACCCAGAGTTGACGGTGGGGAGAGAAGGAGAAAGAGAGCATCCCAAAATGAGAGAGGAACCCAGAAGGGAAACTCTCCTGCCCACATTGAGTCGCTAGCCAGGGAGCCCTACAGCCCTGGTGCCAATGGGGGGCTGGGTCCATCAGGAGGAGTGGGGCAGCAAGCACAGCACATTCACTCTCAAGGCACGCCATAATTCAAACAACAGAACAGCGGTATAGCCAGCTGCTTTTGTGCCCGGTTCAACGCGGGGGTCCTGTGGGCTTTCTGGAGCCTATCCTCTGCCTCCCCCCCCAGCTGTAGGGCGGTTGAGGGAGAGGCAGGGGGCAGACGCAAGCCCCACGCTTCTGTTTCAGGCAGCGTCCAGCCTGCAGGGGCCCAAGCCACCAAGTCACCCCCAGGAGAGATGCGTGGATCAGGCACTCTGCACACCCCCCCCGGTAAGTGCCAGCCCCGCGGTGCGGCGCCCAGTGCCAGCCGCGTTTTTTGACTCAACTAAAAGGTTTGGTGAGCCCAATTTTTATTTTAAACACGGCTTTCTGTCCTTTGCCAACCCCCCTCAGTGGATGACACCTGGGGCGGACCCCAACCCCCCACCCCCACCCTCCTTTCTCTGCAACTGCAACAGAATAAAAGGACTCAAAACTCCCTTAGCAGTTTCCTGCTGGTCCCCTCACCATTTCCCCAGACATCAGTCTTCAGGCTTTGCTTTCTCGGCGTCCAATAAGAGTTTTTCCTGATTCACTTGCAGAGAAACCACCAAAAGGCTGTTGGCCTCAACTGCAAAGTGAGGCTGGGATTCTGAGCCGATGTCACAGCCAGGTTCCGATCAGTCCATTTCCTCCAGGGGGGGGGGACCTGTTTCCCCTGAGGGTGACCGCTGAACACACCACCCAAGGGAAAAGAAGGAGAAAAGCAGAGAAATCTTTTCAATTCTGTAGCAAGAAAGAATGAGTGCCAGGAGTTTTCTTTTTCCCTGCACTCCTCCATTGCCACACCTTTCAATTACTATTATTATGCTAGATCAGGGGTCGGCAACCCGCGGCTCCGGAGCCGCATGCGGCTCTTTAACGCCTTTGCCGCGGCTCCGGGCGGAGGCGAGGGGAGGAGGCGCATGTTCCGCAAAGCCATTTCCGAGCTAGAGAGGAGAGGGGGTGCGAAGCTAACCCCTCCCACACTCCATTCCGCGGGGCTGGCCTTTTGCCCCCGCCCGAGAACAGGGAATCCCCGGGCGTGCCTGCAACCCTGCCCGCCAATCGGACCGCCCTCATTTGCCCCGTTCCAGGCTCGCCACCCTCTCCCTTCCACTCCCGGCAGTCCTTCTCTGCCGTCCTCGCTGCTTTCCTCCCCCCCGCCCCCCGCTTTCCATCCCCTCTCTAGCCTCCTCTAGGCGTGGGTTTGAAGCTGCGGCGGCCATTTCTTTAAAGGGCACCGATAAGGGAAAATCGTCGGCGCCATCTTTGTGGGCGCACGTGGGAGTCGCGGGAGCGGCCATTTTGGTTGAGGGCTGTAAGCAGGCTGCATTGAAAGGGGGCATGTAAGCTGGTCACTGTTTTGAAGGGAAGTGAAGAACACACCCTCAAAAAAAGGTAACTTGTTAATTAACCGTTTATTTCTATGAGGAGGAGTAATTCTGAGGGGTCAAACAAAAAAATAATAAAAAAGTGTCAAAAAAGTTATTTTAAAATGACGAGGATGACATTGGGCCCTCATTATTCATTATTATTTACATCAGGCACTGATTAGGATTTATGGTACACTGGGGCCCTGATTAATTTTCTATGGCATTTGGGGCATTGATTATTGGGCATAGCAAATTTTGCTATGGGGCCCTCTGATTTCTAGTTACGTCCCTCTTTTGGACCCCCGGTAGGCCAGCCATGGATAAAGGCAAGAAAAGAAAAATTTCTGAAGAAAACAGAATGTCTAATGATACATGGACAGAATCATTTAGATAGATAGATAGATAGATAGATAGATACATAGATAGATAGATTCTTTATTGTCATTACACAAGTGCAACATTGCACAAGTGCAACGAAATTGGAATGCCATCCCTTAAAAACAACAAAAGCAAAACAACAACAACAACCAAACAAACCACCTTCCAGCCACACCCACACCAACACCCATCAAACTCCCAGGTCTCACTATCGAGTTACAGCATTCAAAAAGGCCACAGCTCTTGGATAGAAACTGTTTTTCAGTCTATTTGTCTTTGACTTGATGTTTCTATATCTCCTGCCAGAAGGCAGTAGTGCAAACAGACTGTATCCCGGGTGAGATGAATCCTGCAGGATGTTGTTTGCTTTCCTAAGGCAACGGGAACCGTACAGTTCTTCCAAAGATGGGAGAGGATGACCAATAATCCTTTGGCTGTGGTTATGACCTTCTGGAGCACCTTCCTCTCCCTAGCTGTACAACTGGAGAACCAAGCACAAATACAGTATGTGAGTATGCTCTCTATGGAGCCTCGGTAGAAGGACACCAGCAGTCTCTCACTCAGATTGTTCTTTTTTAAAAGTCTGAGGAAATAAATTCTCTGCTGGGCCTTCTTCACCAGAGCAGTGGTATTTGCGCTCCAAGTCATGCCCTGATCGATAGTCACTCCCAAAACCTGAATTCCGCCACCCTCTCCACCCGTTCCCCGTTGATATACAAGGGCTGAATGTCCGCCTTTTTTTCCCTGTAATCCACCACCAATTCCTTGGTCTTAGCCGTATTAAGAGCCAGATTGTTCTCTCCACACCAAACACAGAGCCGCTCCACCTCGTCCCGATAGGCGGACTCATCCCCTCCTGAAATGAGCCCCACCACCGTAGTATCATCAGCAAACTTGATGATTTTGTTGCTGGAGTAGATGGCTGTACAGTCATACGTATAGAGAGCATAGAGCAGGGGACTCAACACGCAACCCTGTGGTGAGCCGGTGTTAAGGCTAAGGGCTGTGGACACATGTGTCCCTACTCTAACCCTCTGAGAACGTTCTGACAAAAAATCCAAAACCCAGAGACAGGTGGAGTTGGAGAGTCCAATCGTCTCTAGCTTGGACACCAGTCTATGGGGGAGGATAGTGTTAAAAGCAGAGCTAAAATCCACAAACAGCAGCCTCACATAATTCCCCGGCTGCTCCAGATGGGACAGAGCAGCATGGAGAGTGGTGGTGATAGCATCTTCTGAGGATCTATTTGCCCTGTATGCAAACTGGTAGTTGTCAAAAGTTGATGGAAGACAGGAAATAATATGACGGCGCACCAGTTTCTCAAAACACTTCATGATGATTGGAGTCAGTGCAACTGGTCTGTAGTCATTCAAACTACTGATTGTGGATTTTTTAGGCAGAGGGACAATAGTTGACGACTTCAGGCAGGGTGGGACAATAGACTGGTGTAAGGACTTATTGAAGATCTTAGTAAAGACCCTCGCCAGCTGATCCGCACAGCCCTTCAACACCTTTCCAGTGATGCCATCAGGTCCAGCCGCCTTCCTCGGATTCACCATCCTCAATACTTGTCTCACCTCATGCTCCTCTACAGTGAATGAGGGGCCCCCATGGGCTGGTGGCTGTAATACCGGCGTCTCAGGTGGCTCCTTCTCGAAGCGAGCAAAGAAGAGGTTAAGCTCCTCCGCCAGCAAAGGGTCACCGTCGACAGCACCAAGGTTAGGTTTGTAGTTGGTAATATGCTGAATCCCCTGCCACATCTGTCTTATGTTGTTGCTCCTTAAATTATCCTCAATCCTCTGCCTATAATCCAGTTTTGCCCGTCGAATACCCCTCTTCAAGTTTGCTCTTGCCACACTGTAAAGCTGCACCTCGCCCGACCTGAAAGCCCTG